TTCTCTCTCTCTCTCTTTTTCTCTTTTCTCTTTTCTCTCTCTCTCTTTCTTTTCTTTCTCTCTCTTTCTCTTCTTTTTTTTCTCTCTCTCTCTTTCTCTCTCTCTCTCTCTTTTCTTCTCTTTTCTCTCTCTCTCTCTCTCTCTTTTCTCTCTTTCTCTCTTTCTCTCTCTTTTTTCTTTCTCTCTTTTTCTTTCTCTCTCTCTCTCTTTTTCTTTTCTTCTCTCTTTCTCTTGTCTCTCTCTCTCTCTCTTTCTCTCTCTCTTTCTTCTCTCTCTCTTTCTTCTCTCTCTCTCTCTCTTTCTCTCTCTCTTTCTCTCTCTCTCTCTTTCTCTCTCTCTTTCTTTCTTTCTTTCTCTCTTTCTCTCTCTCTTTCTCTTTTCTTCTTTCTCTCTCTCTCTTTTCTCTCTCTTTCTCTCTTTCTCTCCTTCTCTCTTTCTCTCTCTCTTTCTCTTTCTCTCTCTCTCTCTTTCTCTTCTTTTCTTCTCTCTCTCTCTTCTCTTTTTTCTCTTTCTCTCTCTCTCTCTTTCTCTCTCTCTTTTCTCTCTCTCTTTCTCTGCTTTCTCTTTCTCTCTCTCTTTCTCTCTTTTCTTTCTCTTATTTTCTCTTATCTTCTTTCTTTTCTCTTTCTCTCTTTTTCTTCTCTTTTTTCTTTTTCTCTCTCTCTTTTTCTCTTTCTCTCTTTCTTCTTTCTCTTCTCTTCTCTCTTTGTCTCTTTCTTTTCTCTCTCTCTTTCTCTTTCTTTTTCTCTCTTTCTCTCTTTCTTGTCATTCCTTCTTTTCTTTCTCTCTTTTCTCTTCTCTTATTTTCTCTTGTCTCTCTTCTTTTCCTTTCTCTGCTTTTCTTCTCTTTTTTTCTCTTTTCTCTCTTTCTTTCTTTTTCTTTCTCTGCTTTCTTTCTCTCTCTCTCTTGTTTTCTTTGTCTCTTTCTCTCTCTCTCTCTTTTCTCTTTCTCTCTCTTTTCTCTCTTTCTCTCTCTTCTTTCTCTCTTTCTCTTCTCTCTTTCTCTCTCTCTCTCTCTCTTTTCTCTCTCTCTCTCTCTCTCTTTCTCTCTTTCTCTTTCTCTCTTTTTCTCTGCTTTCTCTCTCTCTTTCTTCTCTTATTTCTCTTTTCTCTCTCTCTTTCTCTTCTTTCTCTCTCTCTCTCTTTCTTTCTCTCTTTCTCTTCTCTCTCTCTCTTTTTCTCTTTCTCTTCTTTCTCTCTCTCTTTCTCTTTCTTTTTCATTCTCTCTCTCTCTTTCTCTGCTTTCTTCTCTTTCTCTCTTTCTCTCCTTCTTTTCTTTCTCTCTCTTTTTCTTCTCTGCTTTCTCTCTCTTGTCTCTTTCTTCTTTCTTTTCTCTCTTTCTCTTTCTCTTTTTTCTCTTTCTCTCTCTTTTTTCTTTCTCTCTCTTTTTCTTCTCTTTCTCTCTCTCTTTCTCTTTCTCTCTCTCTCTCTTTTCTCTTTTCTCTCTCTCTCTCTCTTTTTTTCTCTGCTTTCTCTTTCTCTCTCTTTTTCTTTCTTTCTTTTTTCTTTCTCTTTTTTCTTCTTTCTCTGCTTTCTCTTTCTTTTCTTTTCTTTTTCTCTTTTCTCTTTCTCTCTCTTTCTCTCTTTCTCTCTTCTCTCTCTCTCTTTTTCTTTCTTTCTCTCTCTTTCTCTCTTTCTTTCTCTCTTCTCTCTTTTTCTCTCTCTTTCTTTTTTCTTTCTCTCTTTTTTCTCTTTTCTCTCTCTCTCTTTCTCTTTTTCTCTTTGTCATCTCTCTTTTCTTTCTCTCTTTTTCTTCTCTTTCTCTTCTCTCTCTTTCTCTTTCTCTCTTTCTCTTCTCTTTTTCTCTCATTCTTCTCTTCTTTTCTCTTTTTCTTTCTCTTTCTCTTTTTCTCTTTCTTTTCTTTCTCTTTCTCTTTTTTCTCTCTCTTTTTCTTTCTCTCTCTCTCTTTCTTTTCTCTCTCTTTTCTTTCTCTCTTTCTTTCTCTTTTCTCTCTCTTTTTCTCTCTCTCTCTCTCTCTTTCTTTCTCTCTCTTTCTCTTTTTCTCTTTCTCTTTCTTTCTTTCTCTTTCTCTCTCTCTCTTTCTCTCTCTCTCTCTCTCTTTTCTCTCTCTCTTTCTTTCTCTCTCTTTTCTTTCTCTTTCTCTTTTTCTTTTTTCTTTTTCTCTTTCTCTTTCTCTCTTTTTCTCTTTTTCTTTCTTTCTTTCTCTTTCTCTCTTTTGTCTTTCTTTCTTTCTCTTTCTCTGCTTTTCTCTCTCTCTCTCTCTCTCTCTTTCTCTCTTCTCTCTCTCTTTTTTCTTTCTCTCTCTTTCTCTTTCTTTCTCTTTTCTCTTTCTCTCTCTTTCTCTCTTTCTCTCTCTTCTCTCTCTCTTCTTTTCTTTTCTCTCTCTTTTTCTTTCTCTTTCTTTTTCTCTTTCTCTCTTTCTCTCTTTCTCTTTTCTTCTTTCTTTCTTTCTCTTCTCTCTTTCTCTCCTCTCTCTTTTTCTCTCTTTCTCTCTCTCTTTCTCTTTTCTTTCTCTTTTTCTCTTTCTTCTCTCTCTCTTTCTCTGTTTCTCTTTCTCTCTTTTCTCTCTCTTCTCTTTCTTTTTGGATTTCTCTCTCTATCTTTCTCTCTTTCTTTCTTTTTCTCTCTCTCTTTCTGTATCTTTCTCTC